GACACCAACAGCTTGACAACCAATGCCGCTCCAGTCTGCATGGCATTTAAATGATGGTGAGTACCAGCCAACACTTGGGAGCGCATGATAGTTTTACCTCTTTGTTGTCATTTATTTGGTATTATACCTTTTAATTCAAAAATAAACTCACTGCTGTTGTTAATCTACGTACCCATTGCCATTTGTCCCCAAGTAAATTACACTAGCCAGATTAAAACTGAACGGTACTTTCCGAATTCCGTTTTGCCCAGGAGGGAAATACGATCAACCCACACTGTCTGGCAGTGCTCCGTGTTAAAGATGACTCTGGCCGATCAATGAGTTCATATACCATTTAAGTAATCATCATCGTAGTAATAATCCAACCAGAGCCTGAAGATCTAATATAAATATGGCATTGTGAGTTATGTGATATCATATTTACGAAAGAAGAAGGGGAAACAGCAATTCAATCTCCCACAGTTTGTGGGAAAGGAAGTTCGTTCTGTTAAAACAGGAACCACAACGGCTTAGAAACGCTTTAGATTTCCCATGTAATTCAGTGTAAAAGTTTAGGACATTTTCTAGCTCACGAAGAGCTCGATATGCTTCAAGACGATGGCACCAAGGTTGAATCAGTCAGATGTGTAATGTCAAGAAAGAAATTGTGAGTTCAAATTAGAAAACTGAAGATAGGTTTGGCAGGTTCATTTTGTACCAAACATGCTAAAAAGATGTGATTTGTTTCGAAGCTTAAGTCTTGATTTGACCAGGTGCATACTTTGTCTGCTTTCAGAGCTATCATGTTAATAATTGGTTGTCTATCTTTGAAGTTCAAATTGGAATGTACTTATCTCGGTTATTCTGGACAAACCTTTTACGGACCGGTCACAGTAGTGCTATACCAGGGGTTTATATTCTGATTCCTGTATGGGCTGATAGAAATGCCCTATCATTGTATCCACAATACACTGTATTTTGTAGGCTCCCCAAGTACATTGTAGACTAGATGAAATGAGGATTGTGAACAAAGAATAATTCAATCCCAAGAAATGACCGGATGATCCGATATTTCGGGTACTTTTTAGCAATCTTCAAAAACCAAAACGGATTGACGTCTGGCTTGCCAATCAGTATTTATCGTTAATGAAAATAAATCCAGATGTCGTAAATTTGAAACTCATGGGCTGAACTAATCAAAGAGAAATTTTCTACCTGTCAAAACGAGCACGTGACTTCATGAGTAGAACAAACAAGACAGTTTGTCTGTCACTGTGCTCACAGAGATATTTGATCTGAGATACGCAGTCATTAGAGAACCCAATTTGCCTGAGGAAAGGATGAACTGCTAATAGGATCCAGTCATGCTGACTTGATTGAACACGAGAGGGAGGGGTAATTTAACAATTACGAGTTTTCAATAGTTCCTCACGTGTTGAAATAGTCCGAATTCATAGTTCCCGGAAAATGCTCGAATAGCACACTGAGAGAAAACACCCTGCCAAAAGTAGTATTGATTATGACGATTCATCAACCGGCTAGTTCATCGCAATTTTCTCGTCGCAGGGGTTCTTCGAATAAAAGCAATTAGATGCCAAATCCATCGCTTATGGGGAGCGATGCCTTCGTTCTCTTTGTATGTTCCGCATACGAAAAGTTGGTAACCTGTAGATCAACCATTAGTTGAGACAACGGTGTTTTCAGTCGTGCTATATCAGTGTTGTTTCCAGCGAAACCTGTCGTTGCCTGAATCCTCCAACGTAGCATAGCTTAAAAATGTTTATCTCTAGCAATGTTTCAATCATGCATATCAGATAGGGGGATTTCTACATCAAATGGCCCTGGAGAAGGCGAAATAAGATCACGCGAGAGTAATTTGGGTGATGTACACACAGGGTACAATTAGTAATTGGTGTTGATCGGTGAACCCAGAACACACACGTGAGAAACAGATGCATTAACCTACATGATTAGATTCGACAAACGAGGAACCATTGTCGAATGAAATGGATATAATTTCACGGGCGTCCGGATGGTATTCGCGAACGTTCAACGATAATACTAATATAGGTTGCATCGACCCTGTGTTGGTTGCTGCATTCACATGCGGTAGGAACTACAATGAGATGCACTAGTCAGTTGATGAACACACAGTTCAAAGAGCACTACTTCGTAGAAGAGTGCCTAGGTTGCAACCCAAACTCAGTCAAATAGGAATGATGGAACAGGTTTCATTATCATGTATTTTGTGCTTTTTCTGTCGAACATAGAGTCAGCAAACTAGAGACTGACAATCAGGTCACACTTAAGTATTCCATCACTGACTGACTGATCAGTGAACTGTTTGGAATGTCCCATTTTGTCACACTATTTCGATCGCCTTTAATTCATTCCTTGGCAGAAATCTGAGCTTCACTCCTAAAAATGGACCTTCTTTTGATGGTGTAAAGAGCATGCAAATCACCGCATGCAGTGACCGTTTGAATAAAATACTTCGATCGGCTGCTCCCCGTTAACCACTGTTTCGGTCACTGATCTGAGAAAGCCCCCATACTTTAAAAATCAACTTCTCTTCTAAAATAGATGAAAGTAACGTAATATCTCGGATACTCTTCTTTACTATCATTCGTTCACTGCAGTCTCAGTCACTCAATCATCAGTCGTAAATCGACCTTTGGAAGTCTTACGTAGCCCATTCTTTGCACGTAGCAAAATACTCCTATAACACCGAGCATCTGTAATAGCCTCTGCTGAGATCATCCTACTTACTATGTTCACGTGACGGTGTTTTTGAAAAGAGAAAAAGGTCAACGTCCAAGGCTAGATCGTTTAACCACTGGCAGGTCATCAAATGAAGTTTGCTAAAACCCTTGACTCCAAAGCAACCAAAAAGAGGTGCAAGAAACACACAAAGACCTTTCTGATTCTGAAAGCAGTCACCGGTTCAATTAAGCATCCGGATGCATTGAGCACCTATGATGTTTGGCTCCATTCCAACGGAATAGAATTCGACGAAGTGAAAACAAGTTCCCAAGGGATTGTGGTTTTCACAGCGCTATTCAAAGTCTTTTGATTGTGAATCTTTCAGAAACATTTATCCGATTCAGCGCGGGTTATCTGGGAAAAATTGGGCTCATAAGGAAGTCAACAACTTGTTTTATTACAGACTGCCCCATGGTTTCCTTGGGATACAGTCTGGACGTAGGTCAAACAATGATGCTTATTGCTTGTGGCTTATATAGCCCCAAGGAATTTATATAAAATGTTTATATAAATATTTGCTCTGCAAACTCTATATAGGCAAAGCGAATATGTACAACCTTTTATATGAAGGATGCTAATGGATTTCGAGAAAGCTGATAGAATTTTTACCACATCATGATCAAATCATGATAGGAGTGTATCGACAAATCGATGCGACATGTGTTGTTTTATCGTAAATGTTAATGTTATAGTGTTAATAACACAGCGATTTCGGTAGAGAATTCTCTACCGACATCGCTCTGTTATTAACACTATAACATTAACATTCACGATAAAGCTGATAGAACCTCATGCTACAAACATTTTACTCAGAATTGTGAGACTCCAGTTGACTTCGAGTTTGTAGCATTGTTTTTCTCAAATGGCTTTGATAATAAACTCATACCGTGTTTAAGCTTCCTCTCAAGTTATCACAGAAATAAATTAATGCCTAACCCTAATCTTTATACGAGAGTCTTCCGAAATGAACCCATTTTATCCAGAAAATGGGCATAATAGACCTTTTTATTTGTACCATCGTGTCGAGAAATCTTTTCTTGAAAGTGCTCCGAAGCGTGTGCACGCATCACCTGTTGAGCACTCGATCGCATTTGGCAGAGACGCTGTTGTTGATGAATTTTTACAGCTGCAAATTGCCTTAGCTGGCAAGTAACAGATTGAAACTCTGACTGTTTGGGTTATTAACCTTTCTTGGGCTATCATATCATCTGCTCTATACGGACCAGACGAGAAAACCTTTATCTGATTGCAAGAAAGTGCTCTAAACTAGTTGATTAAATCAGGGATTGTTGACAAGTTCCGGGACGAGGGCCATTAGTAGTGATGTGAATGAGTGATGCCTCCCGTTCCGTTTGCACACGGTCGAAGGAATGTTATCTCGCGAGGTCAGGTGCCGTGATCCCAATCATGAACTGAACAACTGTTTTGAATGAAATCAGGCCAACGATATTCATTCAATGACAGACTGATGACCTAGTTGGTCATCGGGAACTTTGAGTCAATCAGTTAGTCAATCAGTCAGTTAGTCAGTAAACCACCCACTAACGTGCATATTCACATACCAAACACGAATGAATAACGTTAGGCAATCTGATTAACAGTTCGTTACATTTGCCCGAGGAGTCACTTTTGAGCTTGTTCTACGATAAGATTAGAGGTTTGATTAATCATGCTGTTTTGCTAGGTTGTATTTCCTCAAAATCCACCGCTCATGCGCAAACCGAAGATCCTTCTTGGGGAAACTATATTACCCATAGGTAAATGAGATGCATGCATACATCAGTATA